TTATCTTTCTCTATTCTTTCTCTCTCCTTATTCTCTTCTCTTTCCCTTTCTAACTGTCTCTCTTCTCCCTCAATTCTCTCTCTTTCAAGTCTTTCCTGGATCTTAGCACTAAGGAAAGATTCTAAATTTTTCCCTGTTATTCCTAACTTACTTCCAGCATTCATCCAAAACTGGTATTCCTCCATACTTGCAAGAATAACTTAAACTACCAGGGGAAAAATGAAACGGGTATCAAAGAAAACGGAGGGTTCAATTCCTGCAGCGCTCAAACTGTAAATAAACCAGAGGGCTCGATCCCTGCTTCAATTAACCCTTTCAGGGTCCAAGGCCAAAATCTGAAGTCACGCACCAGTGTCCAAGAATTTTCCAAAAAAAAATTTTTTATTTTTTCTTATGAAATGGTAGAGAATCTTTTTGTGAAGGTAATAAAACAAAAAGTACGAAATTTGATGGAAAATTGACGAAATTATGCTCTCGCGAATTTTGATGTGTCAGCGATATTTACGAATCGGCGATTTTGCCGACTTTGACTTCCATTTTAGGCCAATTACATCATTCCAGTCGACCAAATTCTTAGTGATTTTACTAGTATTACTTCTATTCTATCGATTGAGCACAAGAAATCGCCAAGTCAACTGTTTCAACTACAAAATAAAGTGATCGGAAATTGGTAATTTGGCCAATTTAACAAAGTTCAAAATATTCCAATTTCAAAATAGCATCCAGAATAAACAATGTAGGCATTCCTGGCACTAAACTAACATTTCCTCGGTTCATTAGTTACGTTTTGAGGCTTTACAAATAAATTCCATTTTTATTTTTTATTTACATAATGAATTTTTATTCACACCAAAAAATAGAAGATTTACTGTTATGCAATATTGTAATAATTGTATAAATATCATCACCACATTTGTGAATGTGTATTAGATCCACCAGCTGGCATGTATTAGACGTGTGAGGTCGTTTGTTTACTCTTGAACATCGACAAAAATTTAACATTTCTGCTATTTTGAGCTCAGTTTCAAGCCATTTCCAGTGCTAAAACCAATCAAAATCATCTCTATTTCTGTAATATGTCTTCCATTCTATCAAATGAGACCAAGAAATTGCAAATACAACTATAAAAAACATACGAAAAAACACTGCAAAGTTGCTGTTTTAATCGAAAATCTTGGTTTCAGTTTTTTTTCTCTCATTATACACAGTGTGCTGCAGGATTTGTTTTATGTGGTGCACACATACCACATAGATGTATTCTCTCATATCTAGGCCCAAGTGTACCACTCACAGTTTATCAGAGTGAGCTGAGCTCATGACGTAGATCTACGGTTTGGACACTGAACGCAAAGCCGTAGATCTACGGGACGGACCCTGAAAGGGTTAAACAATATGTATTAATGAAAACGAAGGGTTCTATGCCGGCTCCGAGCAAACAGTAAGTAGAATGGGGTCACTTGACCATCCAATCTTCTCACGAACAAATCAAGAGTGTCCTACGACAGTTCCTTTGATATAAAGAGCTCAATGAAACAAATTGTCACTGGAAAATCTCGGGCCCCTAGAGTCTAATCCTCCAAAGTGTTTCAAGCTCGAAAAGGTGGCAGAATTAAATATTATATCCTGCCTGACTTGAATTACAATAAATTGAGACTATAACAATCGCCAAATCGTTTAAATACCTGTACCGTAGTCCTACCATAGAGAATGATTACTCATGGCTGGTGGTAACAGTCTGTTTACCTGGAGTTTACCTGGAGAGAGTTCCGGGGGTCAACGCCCCCGCGGCCCGGTCTGTGACCAGGCCTCCTGGTGGATCAGAGCCTGATCAACCAGGCTGTTGCTGCTGGCTGCACGCAAACCAACGTACGAGCCACAGCCCGGCTGATCCGGAACTGACTTTAGGTGCTTGTCCAGTGCCAGCTTGAAGACTGCCAGGGGTCTGTTGGTAATCCCCCTTATGTGTGCTGGGAGGCAGTTGAACAGTCTCTGTGGTATGCAGTGTTGAAGTTCTAATGGTAGATTCGAGATGGAGTTGAATCTTGATTCAGTAGAGTTGATCCTGGCAAGACCGCCACTTGTGAAGGCTTACTCAGCCCTGTAACAACTTCAGTCAGTATTACCAAGGCTGGCTGGCTCCTCAGGAAAATTAATGAATAGAAAAAGAAATAATAACAGACAATGATAAACACTTTATTATTTAGAAACGGAAAATGTAAAACAATAGAACATGAATGGGTATCCTAATTGAAAGAAAAATGAAAAATGAAATGAAAAAAATTACATTTGAACTCAATACTAATATAGGTATATCATGGTAATGGGGTGTCAGGTGTTGGTGACACTGAGTGTTGTTGAAATCGTAGCTGTTGCTGATGTGGGGGGGGGGTAGCAGGTGTTGGTGACCACCACTGGCTCGTTCTTCACAGAGTATAGCCGTGTGTAATTACTTCAGATGACAGGAAAACAGGTTCGTTACCACTGCTCTGATGAGGCGTTAGGTCCTGTGTTGGCTTACATAACAGGTAAGTAGACTAAACATGGGACGTCTCAGGACGTTAGTCCGTCTCCTTCTATTCTTCTCGTTGGTTGGCAGGTGACCCTCTCTGTCATTCCAAGAGTAGTGTTGGGAGCTGTGAGTCGAGTGATTTACTGTTTGACCAGAGCCCCACACGTCACCTTTCGGGGGGGGGGGGAAGAGGGAGGGGAAGGGATAGCGGGAGCTAGACTGACCCTACCTTAACAAGCTGCCGGCAATCAAACTATCACTTTCGGGGAGGGGGAAAAATGGGGGAGGGGGAATAGCGGGAGCTGGACTTACCCTACCTTAACAAGTAGCCAGCAATGAAACTATTGTTACTATACACTCCCTCGCTACTCCTATCTATTGAACTTTTCCCTCACCTTTTGAACTTCTCTATGGTAGACAGGCCTGAGGTCCATTGTCCATCCTTCATGACTTATGGACTAATGAGGTGGTGAATGCTGAGGTTCAGTCTTCTTATCAATTTCTCCTTGACCTTAGATCCAAACTTGAGGAGACCTCTGACATAGTTTCGAAAAACTTAAGCTTATCAATGGACCAGTACGAAACCTATTTTGATTCCAAAAGTCAGAGGAGAAGTTTTAAAGTAGGGGATGAAGTTCTGGTACTTTTACCAATAAAGTCAAATAAATTATTAGTAGGATGGAAAGGTCCATATAAGGTATTGAAAATTTTTGGGAAGGTTGATTACCTCATAGAAGTCAAGGGGAAACCTAAGCTTTCTCATATCAACATTCTTAAGAAATATTACCAAATGACTTTGATTTAGTCAATGACTTAGATTTAGTTTTTCCACGCAAACTTGATGAGACAACTGAGGAGTGTAAGGTGTGCGTAATTGACACCTTTAATGTAGACTGTGACAAAGAACTACATGACTTGGTGACTCTTGAATACTCTGGTGCAACAAACATTAATATCAATGAGTCTTTGGATGACCATAAGAAACATGAACTACTTCAATGTGTGGGGTAAATTCTCAGATGTTTTTACAGATATTCCAGGTGTCACCTCCACGGTAGTCCATAAGATTGACTTAGCCACGGACAGTCCTATCAAACGGAAATTATACCCAGTTCCAGTTCACCTTAGGGATGCATTTGACCGAGAGGTAGACAGATTATTAAAACTAAAGATCATTGAACCTCCAGTATCTGCATATTGCTCACCAGTAGTCATGGTTAAGAAGGAAGACAATTCATATAGACTTGTTATTGACGGTGGGATGCTGAGCCTATGCCCTTGATAGCGATCTACATAAATTTTATGACTCTTCTTTCTTTTCAGAGATTGATATTGTGCAAGCATATCATCAAGTAATGTTAGATCCTTCATCTAAGCAGTACACCACTTTTAATACACACCAAGGACTGATGCAGTATAGAACTATGCCCTTCGGTTTAGTAACTGCCTGTGCTACCTATGTGAGACTGATGAGAAAGGTCTTGGGTAATATGCCAAATGTTTCAGTTTATTTTGTCAACATTTACGTAATGACATCCATGTGGGGCAAGCATATCCAAACATTAACGTCAGTTTTACGTATGTTACGCTCACATGGCCTCACTGCTAAGCCGAAGAAATGCATCCTTGGGTATAACAAAATTAGATATCTCGGATTGATTCTTTCTAATAACTCTTTGCAGCCTCTCCCCAGTAAAATCAAAGCTTTATTAGAGTTTAAATTCCCCAAAACCAAGAAGCTCATGTGTAGCTTTCTTGGTTCTGTAAATTTTTATGCACGGTTTATCCCCAACATTACTGATCTTACAGGCATCCTATCCAACTACCTTAAAAAGCCTGTGAGGGAACCTCTTGAACTTTCCGACGTAGCTTGAGAAAAGTTTAATGAACTTACAAACATCTCTAAAGACCCTATACTTAAGATTCCAGATATTAATAAGCCATTTTGTTTTAGAATTGATGCCTCCAATACTGGCCTAGGTGCAGTGTTACTACAGTATCATGATGGTACACCCTTTCCTGTATGCCTCCTAAGCTGGAAACTTCTTCCTGCAGAAACGAGATACTCCACCATAGAAAAGGAATGTTTGGCCCTTGTGTGGGGTATCTCCAAACTTAAATTTTTCAGGGAAAAGAATTCATTTTAGAGACAGATCACAAACCTTTGATATACCTAGAAACTTTTAAGGTGGACATTGCCACTCCAAGCTTTTAAGTTCCATATTGTTTATGTCAATGGTTCATCCAATTATTTCTCTGACTCAGAAGATTTGGTACCTTACATGACTTTCCTAGTTTAGAACTGTTTCCTCGCCTATTCTTCTTATACTCCTTGACTATAAGTCTTGGTATGGGGGAGTGTGAGGGAAAAGTTCAACAGATGGGAGTAACGAGCGAGTATATGGTGACGATAGTTTGATTGCCAGTCTGCTTGTTAAGGTAGGGTCAGTGTCTAGCTCCTGCTATATCCCCTCTTTTCTCCACCCAAAAGGTGTCATGTGGGGCTCCAACCAAATGGATAATCACTTGACTCACAGCTCCCAGCACTACTGTAAGTAAAAGCCTCTGCTCCTATTTTAGTGGATATATTGGTTAAAAGCTTCACTTTTAACCAATTCTAAGACGTAGTTCATTCTGCCTTGATTTCCATGTTTTGCTTTTAAATCCTCACCATTCTTTTAAATGCTTTGCTTATCATGGAGAGTGATTTCTCAAGCAGTGGTTAACGGTGAATGGTTGTCAACAATGTGACATCTCGTTTGTCATGCCACCATAATGCCATGATGTCATTGGCAGTAAACACCTGCACCTCATCACAAGTGCCTGTGTTGAACCTTGTCATATGTTTACGATTAGAACGCACTGTGCCACACACATCTGTCTTGTTCACTCACAAGAAATCACTAAGTAAAGGGCTTGTGTACCAGTTGTCGGTATATAATGTATGCCCCTTACCAAGATAAGGTGCCATCATGCTTCTCACTACGTCACCTGAGATACCCAATAACATTCTGGTATCTTTCAATGTTTTACTTCCTGTGTATACAACAATATCCAGTACCAGGCCACTGTCACAGTCACAGAGTACAAACAGTTTTATACCAAAGCATTTCCTCTTGCTCAGTATATACTGTTTGAATGACAATCTACCTTTGAACAAAATCAAAGATTCGTCAAATACAAGATTCTGGAATGGATAAAAGTACATGTTGAACTTTTGTTTGAGATACATAAAAACATTTCTAATCTTGTATAACCTGTCACTTCTGTCAGGCCTGGTTTTGTCAGAGAAGTGCAACATACATAACAGTAAGATAAACCTGTTCACTGGTATGATTTCACTGAAGACCTGGGGTACAAATTAGCCGATCTGTGGACCAGTATGATTTTATATTATGCTTATAGACATGAGGCATAAGCATTATTGTTGCAAAAAGCAAATACATTTCTGCAACAGTTGTCTCTTTCCACCGGTGTAGTCTTGACTGTGGTGATATCATCATATTTGCCATGGTGTACTCAAAATACTTGTTACTTTCCCTGACAAGAGTCTCCATCAAAGGCTGGCCAAAGAACAGTTCAAAAAATTCCTGTTCATTGGCAGTGGTTCCAAGGAAACAAGTAGGTAGAATTCCACTTTGAGAGTCATCAAACTGGTGGGGCCTGGGAACAAAATTGGGATTTTGCTGCTAATTCCAGCTAGACTTTGCTGGTGGATACTGGACATCATAGGCTGGTTGTGCTGGTAGTTGTGGTTGTGGTGGACTGGTGGCTGATGCTCCGCTTTGTCCTTGAACTGAGGAGTCAGCAGCATGGGTCCCAGCCTGGGCTGGTGAGTCATGCATGGCCATGGCACTACCATCACCACTACCACCACCTACTGATGCCTGTGGTCTATCCATGCCAAGTGTAGCCACATCATCCTCACTTTCACTGTCTATTCCTGGTGTAGGGCCATGGGATGTACTCTGGGATGTACTCCATCCCCTGGGCACTGCATTGGGAACACTACCCGAGCGCATGCGGCAGCGTATATACTGACACTTCACTAGTGAATGTTTCCTTACTATCACTACTCGAATGATCGTCAAGATCAATAAAAGTCAAAATCCACGTCACTATTATCATCATTACTGAAGTCAGAGTCCTGGCCCTGCGAAAATAATAGTTTTCTCTTGCGATGAGGTACAACTGACCGTGACTGAGGAGTGCCCACACCAGAGGTAGAAGGTTGAGGATCATCAGGATTTTCTGCACTATTTTCGATATCCTGGTCATTTCTTTCAGTCGCTAACTGATCAGAGCCAAAGAATTCGTCTTCATTTCCACTTCCATCAGAGTCAGAGCAATCAGATAGGAAGAGGAGATTCCCAGTTTTCCTTAGAGTGAGAGCTGCCTTGTGACAAGGCATGGTGAACAAAGGTATCTGAGCCGGCATTCCCACAATGCTATGCGTGCGCCTAGAATTTTTGTTTACAGTGCACACACACCACGCAGACCTGTTCTCTCACATGTAGGCCTACCAGCCTTTTCGTGCTAAATTTGATGCCACTATAATTTTGGCATAGATCTACGGTTTGGACCCTGAACATGAAGCCATAGATCTATGGCGCTGACCCTGAAAGGGTTAAGATAAGTGATGAATGTACATACTGTGAATGTATTTTACTGTGTGTGTGTTTTTTAATGCCTAGTTCTATTACTAACTTGATATAATTTAGTGTAAACTTGTTGCCTGGCATTTATATGCATTTATAATAGGAAAAAATGGCATTCTGCTTTCCGGCGATGTCTGCTTTCCGGCGATAGCCTGGAACCTAACCCGCCGTATAAGTGGGGCCCGACTGTACATCCTGAAGTCTACTCAACAGTCTTTTATCTACCAATATGTACTCCAGCAAGCTACTGTCATTTCGCCCTACATCATATCTTGTATACTTATTTATACGCTTTTTCTTAAAATACGTGTTACCTGTAACTAAACCCCTTTCTATACAAAGTTCAATCAAACATTATTATCATAACATAAAAACAATGAAAATTAGAGAAGAATTGGAAAAAAACTATAAATCGTTATTATTTCTGCAAGTGGCAGTGCTCCATGTTACTGACACCTGATCATTCAGCACCAACTTCATGGGCTTATATCTCGGTAAGTACTGACCCTAATTTTTTTTTTATCCTGTAACAAGTAGAATAACGCACTCTTCATTTAAAAAAAAAATTCAAAATATTCGGAACGCTGGGAGAGAAAACATAGATCTACGTTTGGACAGTATAAGGGTTGTGAGGGAAAAGTTCAATAGATAGGAGTAGAGAGGGAATATATAGTAACAATAGTTTCATTGCCGGCTACTCGTTAAGGTAGGGTCAGTCTAGCTCCCGTTATTCCCGCCTTTTCTCCCCCAACCCCTAAATTGATAGTTTGTCTGCCGGCTACTAGTTAAGGTAGGGTAAGTCATGCTCCCGTTTTTCCCACCTTTTCTCCCCACCCCTAAAGTGATAGTTTGATTGCCGGCTGCTTGTTAACGTAGGGTCAGTCTAGCTCCCGCTATCCCTTCCGCTCCCTCTTCCACCTCCCCCCCCCAAAAGGTGACGTGTGGGGCTCTGGTCAAACAGTAAATCACTCGACTCACAGCTCCCAACACTACTGTAAGTACATGCCTGCCTTGTATTCTAGTGGATTTATTGGTTAAAAGCTTCACTTTTGATCAATAATAAACTTAGTCTTTTCAGCCTTGCTCTATGTTGACTGTTGTAATAATCACCACATCTTTTAAGTATCAGACTTACCATGGAGAGTGATTATTTAAGCAGTGGGTAACCTGTCTGTCTTTCCAGCTTGGATGTCAGAGAGGGTCACCTGGCAATCAACGAGCAGAACAGGAGAAGGATTAACGTCCAGAGACTTCTCCATTTTGTATTGAACTACCTGTGCACCTGTATGAAAGTGCAGGACGTAACTCCACAGCATTGCAGTGGTAAAGAACCTGCTTTCCTGTAATCGGGATAATAATCACGGCGATTCTCTGTGAAGAACTAGCCAGTGGATGGTCACCAACACCTGCGACCTCCCCCCCCCCTTATCATCAGCAACGGCTACGGTTTCAACAACAGTGTCACCAACACCAGACACCCTTGTAGATATTAGCGTTGAGTTCAAATGTTATTTTATTCATTTCATTTTTCATTTTTCTTTCAAATAGGATATACCTTTCATGTTTTGTTGTTTTATGTTTGATTTAATAAATAGTGTTTATCTTTGTGAATTATTTCTTTTTCTATTCATTAATTTTCCTGAGGAGGAGCCAGCCTGAGTAATACTGTCTGAAGTTGGTACAGGGCTGAGTAAGCCTTCACAAGTGGCGACCTTGCCAGGATCAACTCTACTGAATCTACCATTGGAACTTCAACGCCGCATACCACAGACGGTTACCACCAGCCATGAGTAATCATTCTCTATGGTAGGACTACAGTACAGGTATTTAAAAGATTTGGTGATTGTTATAGTCTCAATTTATTGTAAGTCAAGTCAGGCAGGATATAATTAATTCTGCCACCTAATTGTATGTGAGCTTGAAACACTTTGGAGGATTAGACTCTGGGGACCCGAGATTTTCCAGTGACGAAAATTGATTTGATATACAAGCAAACTGAGTTACAAGCTTGGTCGTGGAACGAATTAAACTCTTAAGTCAAGGTACCACTGTATACATTATGCATTATATTGGTCTCACAGGCCACAAAAGTTACTTGAAAAAATAAAATAGAAAAGAAAAAAAAAAAAGAATAAAAGTAAAAATAATATTACTGAGTGAGCGGCAGTCGCCTATGTTGACATAAGCGGTTTACTTTATCAACTTCACACCTCTATATCTCAGTAAGTACTGATCACACTTTTGTTTTTTCCTTTTTTTTATATATATTTTTCGACACTGAGAGCAAGTTTGTGATCAGGGCTCTCTCCATTGAAAGGGTTGATTCACTAAAAAAATAAATCAGGAAATATAGTTCATGTATAGTGGAATCTCGGTTTTCATATGCCCCAGTTATCGATGGATTCTGTTTTCTGCATCCGCCTGCCTGCCTGCATCACTCAACCACTCAAGTACCAAGTAACTCAGTCTGCCTTTGTTTATCATTGAGTGAGCATCACCCCACATGTTCAGCTGAAACATTTCGTGATAATCCGTTGTTTTTTGTGCTTGTTTATTGTGTGCAACTATTAAATAAGCCACCATGGGGCCAAAGAAAGCAAGAAACACAATAGAATTTAAAAAAGAAGTCATAGCTAAGTATGAAATATCAATACTCAATGTCCTCAATTGCATACGCCTTATAGATAAGGCTTTGCAGGAAGTGACTTTCAGGACGATGAACTCTGCTTGGAGAAAATTGTGGCCAGAATGTGTCCAAGACATGGATTTTGAAGGGTTTGAGGCTGACCCTGACAACCTTACACCTGCTGTGGAATCTGTTGTGTCTTTGGGGAAGTCCATGGGGCTGGATGTGAGTGGCCAGGATGTGGAAGATTTGGTGGATGACCACAGG